CATGAGCAATCTAGATCAGAAGAACTATCCTTCCACATGTTCTGTATTGCTTCCAAATTTGTGTATGTGCTTAAATATATGTGTATCTACAAAATTAGCTATAATACCTGAAATCTACTTCACTTCAAATCTTTTTAAAAAGTCTTTTGCTTATAATCAACTGAGAGATTTTTCTGTAGTTAATGAGATCATTCTAGTACTTCCAGAATACCCTACAAAATAAAATACAATTCTAGTATCAACCATTTCTACAAAAAGTAAAACACAGTTTCAATTTTTTAATCACTTTGATGTACAATATGCTTCCATTTCATGACTATTTTAAAGAAATCTATAACTTAAAAGCAAGGTTAGCTGTTAAATACCCCTCAGACAACAAAGAGATTCTACTTAATAGGCTTATCTTCAAAAAAGTGGATTAGGTTACAGCTGTTTAAAATAACTTAAAACTTTCACTTTGTCTCATATTATCATCTATTAGTACAGAAAAGAAAACAAAAGAGTGCAAAAAAAAAAATGAAAAAGACAAAACTTAAGTAAGGAAAAGTCAAAGCATCTAGAACATAGACAATGAGCCCGAAAGGACAATGGGTCAGAAAAGAAAACGGTATATAGCGAGGATGTACTAAGCTGACATAAAATGTGAGCGGAGGGGCTGAGATGTAGCTCAATGGTGGAACACTTGCCTATCATGTGAGAAGCCCTGAGTCTGACCCTTAGAACAACTGAAAAGAAAAAAAAAAAAAGACTGTGAATGGAGATACTGTAAAAATGACGCATTTGACGGTAACTGGCTAACTGTGAGAGTTCCTTCAAACTTTAAAGACAATGAAGAAGCAAAATTTTTATATTCAAGGAATCAATGTATGGCTAAAAAATCCATTTGTACCAACAATCTCTCACTCATCTTGCAAGATCCATCTGTATCTGAAAACTACAGAATATATACATTGAAAAATACTTCACTTCATACTCTGATAGCCTAAGCCTAAAACAATTAGATTCTATTCATTTTCAATGAATTTCAGTTAATGCCAAGCACAGTATTATACACAGAGTCATTAGAATATAAAATCTGCTGACAAGATTGGTAAAACAATCACTTATCTACTAGGCATTCCCCTATGGGTTATTTAGACAAAAATTAATGCATTAGGTTCATTTCAAATTAGCAAGAGAGTTTACCATTTAAGTTTTTACTTTTACCATGATCATTGTGAACATATAGTAATTTATAAGTATCTTGTGAAAGATACAATTCCATGGACTGTCTGAATAAAGGAGGATCACAGGAGCATACATGAGAATTTCACACAGACAATTTTATCTTAGTTGATGAAATATAAATAAATGTTTACTTAACAGATTTGTGTCTAATAAACATAACCTAAAATTGAGTTTTAAAAAAATTAAGAAACAAATCCTTAAAATACGGTACAAGGCCAAATGCCTTCAAAGTCACTTTAAAAATGACATCTTGGAGGGGGATGGAATGTACACTAAGAAATACATGGTATCATCAAAAAAACAGGTAGCAGTCCTAGAAAACAGGACAGACTATTCCCAAATATTAAGTAAAGTTAATGCGGAAACCTGAGAATAAAAATGTTCTATCAGAGCCTCCTAAGGAAAATAAGGCTGGGATATAGCTCAGCAGCACAAGTGCCTGCCTGACAAGCACAAGCTCCTGAGTTCGATTCCTATGCCTTCAAAAAAAGAAAAAAAAGCAAAGGAAAGCAGGGCTCTAATGGAAAGGTACAGTGGAGAAAGCCAATGTATCATGAAACTGTAGAATCTAGCTCCATGACAACGGAAACTTTGTTAACCATTTTAGAATTTCCTTTCCTTATCTTTGAAAAAAAAATGATAAAAGCTGGGCATGGTGGTACACATAATCCCAAGCACTCCGGAGGCTGAGGTAGGAGCACCTAGCTAGTTCAAGGCTAGTCTCAGCTACAGAGACTAGCAGCTTGAACTAAATAAATAGCAATACTCTGTCTCAAAAAATATATAAATCTGTTTTTCTAGGGATATGGTACTAAACTAAAATCTAGAGAACTTTGTTTTAACTCCAGTCCCTTAAACAAATTGATAATATTTAATTTTATTCACATATAAAATAAGTTCTAGGAAATATCTTCTCTAAAGCTTTCCTAGTTCCTACTTCTTAAAGGATCATATTATGGAAGGAAAACACAGGAAATCCCTTAGAAGTAACAAGTACTCATAACTCATTAGCAAGATCAGACTATGCAACCATGGTACACAGGAGTGAATTTAGCAACGCCTAAGAACAGCTTACGGGAGACACCTGCTGCTGCAATTGGGAAGTTAGCACGTGTGTGCCACAGGACATACGAAGGCAGAAGTGAATTCTGTTAGACAGAAGTACTCTCACATTAAATAGAGGAACAAACAGTTTCATGAAGCCCATCAACTGCCTACGTGGCACAATGTATATACCAGGGGACTCACTCATACTGAGGTGAATATGAAGTCATTGGCAACAGGAAGAATTTACACTTCCAAAGAAGAAGTAAAATAACGTAAAAGACAAATATGAATGAGATTATACAATTCAACAGCTCCTAAGGGCATACTTGAAGGAATATACTTTCTATAATTATCTAGTTCCCCAATAAGTTATCTTAAAAAGAAAGAAAAAGAAAAAGGCCCCACTCAGAATTGCAATGACAAACCATTAAAAATTTTTTTGTTTTTAATTGTGAATAAACTCCAGCAAGACTAGGGAAAGTTAGGGTAACAGTTTGGATGGATAATATATCAAAGACAAGAGGAAGGAAGCAGAACTACTCAGCTTCTACTCTGCTTCCATCCTGTCTCTCAAGGAGTATGATTTTATACCAGAAAGATAAGACTTAATAAAATGTAAAATAGCTGATGAGACTGCCTGTGTTAGATTTCCAATTTCAAAGCTAAGTAATCACTTGTCTGAAAAAGAATGTATTTATGGGTGAATTTATGGAACTCCAGTGGCAAGTCTTAGACAAAGAACATAAAATGGTAAAGACACAAAAAGATTGTAAGTGCCCAAGGACTCAAATATTAAGGAAAACAAAACAAAACAAACAACAAACCCAGAAAGAGACAGGATTTAAGAAATTGAAAGTGTGGAGTCTATTGTGTATCTTTTGTAAAAATATACAACAGCTTTATAAACATATTTTTTGTCAAATCTTAGAAGAGGCAGCAATGAACACCTGACCTTTCTATGAAAGGTGACACATAAGACAACCTCATACAAAACTAACCCTTTATCAGAGGTACAGGACCAGAGCTGGGGAAATATTATGTTGATAGGGTTAAGTGAGGGTTTTCTGGTGTCCTGAGGAGTAAGTTGGATAAATGAAAAAGGGTAACAAGGCCAGGCTTGGTGAAGCATGCCTGTAACCCCAGCACTCAGAAGGCTGAGGCAGGAGGATTATTGCAAGTTTGAGGCCAGCCTGGGCAACATAGTGAGTTCAAGGCCATCTTCAACTACATAACAAGACCCCGTCTCAAAAAAACAACAAAAAAAGAAAAAGGATAGCAATGAGGAGATTATTATTTGGTTGAAAAACCTTACTGAAGAACACTGGTATATAAGAAACCTATTCACATGCTATGAGCTATATCCTCCACCCATTTTATTTTGAGGCAAGGCCTAACTATGTCACCAGGTGGGCCAGGCTAGGTTTGAACATTTGATACTCCTGCATCAGGCTCTGAGAATGCTGGGATTACAGGCACATACCACTATGCCTGGCTTGTTTTTTGTTTCTGCATGTGGTGCTGGAGATAGAACCTAGGGTCTCATGCAGACTACCCTAGGATACACCCCAACCATGCCATCCTTATCCACAATAGAAAGAAAACATAGTGCGGTTTGCAGTAACTGGATGATTGCCAATCTGGCATATTATGGAGAGGGTCCCACACCAGATTCACAGTGGAATTTCCAAAATCCATGTTTAGTATGTCACAGTCTTTACACAAAGTTTCACTCCCAGGAAACATGGCCTGTACCTTAGGAACTGATCACAAATAAGCTATAAGACAGGGCCCATATAGAGCTGAATAAGTATTTTGAAGCTTCTTTCACTGGACCTTTACATCAAGTACCATAGCCAAAAGAAACACTGATGTTTGAGACTGAAACTAAGCCGATAGTGATGAAAACTCCTACATCCATCACCGCCAACACAACTCTGACTACTATAAATGCCCACTACTAACACACCCTTAAATAGTGGTTACTTACTAGTGCCAGAGACTATTCTAAACGCATCAAATATATTAATTTGCTTAACTATCAAAAAAATCAATATTCTCTAATGTGTACTATTATCCCCATTTTATACCTGAAGAAACTGAGGCTACAAGAGTCTGAGAAACTTGACTAAAATCACAGTGAGTAAGAGACCGAGTCAAGAGTCACCCTAGGCAGGCTGGTTTAGAGGGTGTCTTCTTAACCACAAACACCCTGTGCTGCCAAGACCACGTACGCATCTGCAAGACCAAAGTAATCTTTTAATTTGCAAAATTTTTGTTTTTGCATTTAAGCAAGGCCTATTACCTTTTACTTTCATGAATGAGCTTTAAGAATTTTATAAACTTGTATAACACGTAACATTGTAATTGAACTACCAATGTGTACAAACGGGGGTACTAGAGGTCTTCTTTGGAATTTACAAAATTAAATCAGCAGAAAGTTTTGCTTCTTCACAAATACATTCTCAGAAATAATATTCTTTGTTTTTTTTTTCAGATGTCTTTTTTTTTTTTTTTTTTGGTTTTTGGTTTTTCTCCGGTACCGGGAACCGAACTCACGGCCTTGCGCTTGCCAGGCAGGCGCTTTTGCCGCTGAGCTAAATCCCCAGCCCCTTTTTTTCAGATGAATAGGACTTATCACCAAAAGGTCCTCACTCTGAACCTAGATATGTTCCTCAGGTATTTCGTTTCTGTTTAGCTGACCAGAATCCAAAATTAGAAATTATTACCTGAATAGAATGAAGCCAAGTGATTCGACTGCTGCCCTCCTAACATCATCATTAACATCGCTGACCTAGGAGAGAAGTTGAAGATGAGTCTATTATATTATTCCTCTATTACTAAATTGCTATGAGGCAACCATCATTCTAATGCAAATTAGATGCCATCAACATTCCTTCATCAGAATCTTTGCCCACATACAATGAAATAGTGCACACCTCAAATACATATAATACAATTTTAAGAATGATACATGTATTTTAAAAAATGTCTTTCTCAATTTAGAGGAAATCAGTCAGTTCTGGTGGTACACGCCTGTAACTCCAGCACTTGGGAAACTGAGTCAGGAGGACTGCCTTGAGTTCAAGGTCAGCCTAGGTTCCAGAGCAAGGCCTTGTCTCAAAAAAAAAAAAAAGAGGAAGAGAGAAGAGACATTGGAGTAGCTTTTGAAGTTTCTTAATCTCTATTTGAGGGCTAAAACTTTGTACCTGAACAACTTGTTTAGCACGCAAGAGTGTTTTTTTGATGCCTTAGAAACAGGGAAAGTAGGGGCTAGGGATTTAGCTCAGCGGCACAGTGCCTGCCTGGCAAGTGTGAGGTCATGAGTTTGAGTCCCAGTACCGGAAACCAACTCCCCACCCCAAAAAAACCAGAAATAGGAAAAGTAATTTTTATTTCACGAAAGCTAGGAAAGAGAAAGTCCATACTACAGCTAACAGATCTCCCTCTCAGGAAAAAGTGCTAGTTCCTTTGTTCCTGGTTTTCAGTTTGTGAGGTTAATCTATATTTAAAAGTACAACTTTGGGGGCTGGGGATTTAGCTCAGCGGCAAAAGCGCCTGCCTGGCAAGCACAAGGTCATGAGTTCGGTTCCCGGTACCGGAAAAAAAAAAAAAAAAAAAAAAAAAAAGTACAACTTTTATCTCTTTCAATAAATTCTAAAGAAGAAAGATACGGTAACTTCTCAGCAGTAGAATAGTTTTTCTGGGTTATATGGAGAGCCTAATCATTTCTTCAGTGTTATAATGTATGTCCTAAGTTTGAATAAAATCCAAATGTTTAGGGTTCCACACATATTGCACTAATAAAGGGTATTATAAACAAATACTGCAGGATCTGAGTACCTCTGGAAAGAAGGGGTAAGTAACAGTCTAAACCTTTCTGCAAGGGAGAATGACTCTGGATTTTACCCACTCCCCGCACCAAAGCAATAGAAAACCATTAAGTCAGGACATCTGTGGAATGTCTACTGTATGACCAGGGAATTCTACTTACTCTAGGGAAATTATGCCTGAATTGAGAGGACTCTGGAAAAGCCCAGCTGGAGAACATGGGCTCATCTTTCCGTGTAGAAGCTCTTGTAATGGAGCATGTCTGGAGTGTCCCTGAAAGCCAGTTTCATGGGCTATTAAAGAAGTGGTTTCTTATTCATGAGCTTTCCCTACCCTAGGATGACCACATTGTCTCACACGGTCTTGTCACAAATGAGGGTGTCTCTTGGAATGGGGTTTCAGAAATTGCACTTAAGTGGCTTTAAAGACATCTACTCATACTGCCATACTGCTACCCTGCCCATAAATCCAGGGCTGGATTATGGACTACTGTTTTCAATGAATGAGACCTGAACTTGAGACATGATGGCATCCATGTGTTTTGTATGCTGCCGTCACCCAGATATTCATTATCCATCTGCAAACTTTTCCTTCCACCCCATCACCAAGAAAGGTCAGGCTACTCACGGCCACATGAAGCAGGCGCCGAATAGCTTTGTTGTTACCAGAGCCACAATAAGCCATGGCTACTGTATACATTCCAGACCTTCGAAGAATTGGGTCCTAAGAAAGAATAATTCAACACTGATCACCAACTTATCACTTCAAAGAGAAACTGCTGTAGCTACAGTTTTGGAAGCCTATAGACCTAGCTATTCAGGAGACTGAGGTGGGAGGATTGTTTGTACCCAGGAGTTTAAGGACAGTCTGGAGAGCACAAAGAGACCCCATCTCAAAAACCAAACACCAAACCAAACCAAAACCATTCACAACATACAAACCCCAAACAAACAAAAAACAGAACTGTTACCATGTAACAGGCACAGGGCATCTACTAGATAAGCTGGTTTTAGGTAGGGAATTATGAACTCAAGCAGATTTGTGCCTGGTAGTTTTCTAAATGATGGAGAAATTAAAGATTAATACTGAAGGAACTGATTTTTCTTAATTTCCAATATCCTATGTTATATGTCTATTCTGCCTGATACTTTCTAGGAAGTATAAACCGAAATTAATATTAACATCCACACCTCTATGATAGTCAACTTCTATTTATTAAATAACAAAGAAGCTGACTTCTAATTCTACATTCTAAGTCACTTTTACCTTATTATTTATTTATTTTTTTATCTTCTTGAGACAGGGTCTCACTATGCAGTTCAGGCTGGCCTTGAGCTCACTTTGTAGCCTAGGCTGGCCTTGAACTTGCAACAATCCTCCTGCCTCCACCTCCCCAGTGAGTGTTGTGATTACAAGCATGCAGCACTATTCCTGGCTCTATTTTTTAGACATCGAGCACTGAGTGAGAGATATGGAATCTGACAGTGGAAGAAACGAATTCGTTAATTTAATCAATAAACTCCAGCAGTGCTTTGTTTTTGTATCAGATTTTAGAGGATAGGGCTGGGAATGTAGCTCAGCAGTAGAGTGTGTGACTAGCATACACAAGGCCGAGTTCAATCCCTAGTACCACACACACACATACACACACACACACACAGATTTTAGAGGACACTGACTGACTACCATACTCAGTATCATTGTAAAAAAAAAAAAGGCAACAAAAAACCTCACAGAATAAAGACATAGAGATTGTTGCTGCTTCCTGAGAAAAGAATGTGATAACCCTTGTACTTAATCTTTCCTAAAACATTATTTCCAGCTGGGGATATAGCTCAGAGGCACAGCGCCTGCCCAGCAAGCATGAGGTCGTGAGTTCAATTCTTGGTACCAAAAAACCCCCCCACATTATTCCTAAAAGAAAGCAACATATAAATTCCTAAGGAAGTTCTCTGGATTTGCTTATTTGAATCTTAATGCCAAGGCTAAGTTTCACAACCTCAAATTACTCCCGTTCACCTCTTCTAGCCAGTATTTTTCTTTTCTTAAAGTCTATTAGAATTTATGTATCTGGGAAGTTTTATGAACAAATGTACTTAAGTCTTCCAGTGGAAACAGGTAATTACAGAGCCAAGTATGGGATGCTGGAGAAAAGGATGAATGGGCCCTTACCTTATCCCGACAGAGAGATTCAATGAGAGCGTCAGCCTCTTCCATCCTCCCGTACATCACCAAGGCAATGCCGACGGCGAGACCACGCAAGATCTTCTCATGCTGAGTTTCCTGTGCATAGCCGACCATGTCCTCAATAGCCTGTGCATTTTTAGAGCCCAACATAACCAAACCTAGGGCCAGGCCAGCTGCTTCTCCTAGAGAGCAGAGTAAAATATAAAAAAGAGTTATGTTTACAAAGTCAGCCAGATACCTGCAAGTGAAAGTAGCATTTATTGTGCTCGCTTTAGCAGCTCCTATACAAAAGTAGCATCTATTTGTATCAGTTATCCAAGTAACTGTAATTAGTGTCCATAACTTTTTTTTTGAGATAGGGTCTTGCTATACATTGCAGGCTGGTCTTGAACTCCTTATGTAGCCCTGGGCTGACCTTCAACTCATAGCAATTCTCCTGGCCTCAGCCTCCTGAGTACTAAGATCATAGGTATATACCACCATGTCCAGCCTGTAGCATTTTTAAAAAAACACTTGATAAAAAGGAAGACACATTATGCAGACGTACATCCGTGTATTTATAGCTATTTCCCTTTTAAACCTTGACAGAACATACCATCAACCCCCACAACAGCTTCAAAGAAGACATTAAGGCCACACTTTCTCTACATTATCACCATGCACTACTGAACATCCTCCGGATATAAGACTGCTCTGGTAACTTGTTTGCAACAGTCAGTTCTACAGCTGTCACCTGTGCCAAACAGCTCTCCTCCCTCCGTGCTCACCCACCATGGCCACCGCTTGGCAGCTGGCAGGAAGACAGAAAGGCTTTGAGGACTACACGAAGGAGTTAGAAGTGAGCAGCCAGGAGGAAAATGGGTGCAACAGCCAAGCCAGACTGTATCATTGCTTGTGACAGCAACAACCTCACTGTAAAAACTGAGAGCACTATGAAAACAGCACTTTTCTTGTAACCTGGGAGAGAAGTTTGAAGAAACTACAGCTGACGGCAGAAAAATTCAGAAGGTCTGAAACTTTTGAGGGTGCAGTGATTCAACATCAGGAGAGAGATGGGAAGGAAAGCACAACAAGCAGAAAATTTCAAGATGGGAAATGGGTGGTGGAATGCGTGGTGAGCAGTGTCATTTGTACTCAGGTCTATGAAAAAGCAGAAAAAGAACCCCACCATTACTCGGACTCAGCTTTGAGAATGAACAAGCTCAGTTCAATGAGCAAATCTCCATACTTCTTTATTTCTCATTATTTTGTTCAATTATCTGTATCAAAAGCATGCAACTATTTCAAAGTGTTGACTTAACCAGGATCATCCCTTCGGCTACAGGATGTGCTGTTTTAAAAAACCTACATATTACAAAATCTGATTTTATAAATTTGACAAAATGAGCAAAGTCCACTCTCTTCTTGTTTTTTTTGGTTTTTCTCCGGTACCGGGAACCGAGCTCACGAACTTGTGCTTGCCACACTCCTCTTCAAGTACAGAGAAACTTAGATTTTTAAGAGAATAGAAGTAAAAAAAAAAAAAAGTAGAAGAAAACTAACACTTGCATTAATTCTAAAGTTGTGTTTTCAAACAAAAACGCTTACCCGTCACAGCATCATCTTGATAAAGGTTTGTTTTCAGCAAATCATACACATCCTGGCGCGCAGTTCCCATGGCAGCCAAACCAAGGCCCAGGCTGCCTCCATGCCGAACGATCTAGGGGAAAAGCATTGGCTCTGTTGATCCAGTACTCACAGCCCAAGCTTTTATTCGAACTTCAAAATATATTTTGACATCAAGTATGTAAATGTTAGCTCAAAGAGAATGATGAAAAGAACTGACAATCAGGAAGTCAATATAACCTTGGCAATTTAAGTTTCAACAGAATGATGCTTGCTGATGCAAAATAATAGTTAAGAAGCAAATGGGCTGGGTGTGGTGGTGCATGCCTGTAATCCCAGTACATGGGAGGCTGAGGCAGGAGGACTGTTGCAAGTTCGAGACCAGCCTGGGCTACAAAGTGAATCCAAGGCCAGCCTGAACTGAATAGTGAGGCCCTGTTTCAAAGAGACCAAAAAAAGAAAAAAAAAAAAAAAAGAAGCAGCAAATGGGAGAAAAGAAAGCAAAGAAGAGAGTACAACTTTCTCTCAATAAATTTACATGAGAAAGGGAGCTGGACTGGGCAGTAACAGGGACATACAAGTGTAATGGGAATGTTTTTTGGGGGACAGGTAAGACCTGAGTATGATTATGGGCTGGGAAGGAGGCAGTACAGAGGGAGAAGCTGAAGGCAGAGGACAAAAGGGAATCCACCAGAGCACGCTGTGGAGAAAATGGGACCTCCCTGGAAAAGGAAATGTTTTTTTGTTTTTTTGTTTTTTTTTTTTTGTTTTTCTCCGGTACCGGGAACTGAACTCACGACCTTGCACTTGCCAGGCAGGCGCTTTGCCACTGAGCTAAATCCCCAGCCCCTGGAAAAGGAAATGTTAGTGGTCACATCACCTTGGACTGTACAGCATCCTTTTATTGGTGACAGCATTCCAACCCTGCTTTGGGAAAATACCTTCAGATCTGGTTAGTATTGGTGGCACTATCATTTAGGAAGCTCCCACTCTGCCTTAGTCGAAGTGCAGACCCTAAACCCAACCAGGCTGAGGATGCACCCTCTCTGGAATTTTAACCTTTCCAAGTGGAATAATCCAAGGAGAAAACACTCAAGTTCATGCTGACATTAGGGCTTGAAGAGAAGAGCTCATTAAGTTCTTATATAGATTCCTGGAGCTGCCTGGTTCCTAACTTTTGTGAGAACTGGTTCACCAGTTTTCCCATTAACTATACAAGTTACTTGTATACTCCTTAAGTTAGTCAGAAGGGGTTGCCATGAGCTGTTGCTTTTGGAACCATAAACCCTGTCTGACATGAGATGTGAAGTAAACGTGTGTGTATACACAACCAGAGGTTATATACTCAAGAGGGTTATGAGCTGAGACGACCATCTCATTGGTTCTCTTTCCACTGAAGTACAAGGATAGGTGTTCTGACTCAGCCACTCTTGGTAGCCTTCTAAAAGAACTCACTGGAATATGAAGGCCAAAGTCTAAAGTCCTATTTCAAGGTTCCTTAAAATAGTAACAGAGCTGCTTAATAAATTTTTCCAAAGGAATACTTTGTTTTTTGACACAGGTCTTATCTGTGCTTCAGGCTAACCTTGAACTCACTATGTAGCCCAGGTTGACCTTGAACTCGTGGCTGTCCCCCGCCTCAATCTTGTAAGTGCTCAGATTACAGCACTGCACCATCACACCTGGCTTCAAAAGAATACATTTTTAAAAATTATTAATGATTGCCAAGTGTGGTGGCACTCATCTGGAATCCCAGCAATCAGAAGGCTAAAGCAGGAGGATAACTGTGAGTTCAAGACAAGCCTGGGCTATACCGTGAGCTCAAGGCCAGCCTGAACTATGAGGTAAGACCCTCTCTCAAAAAAATGGGAAAAACTATTAATGGTCAAAAGCAGCAACAATTCTGACCCTTAGACTAGATGATAAATAAGGTAATTTATAATTTTCCAAGACTTCTAAAGCATGAAAATCAGAGTATGTTTTATAAATATCTCATACTTTGTTTTTCTTGTTACATGCATGGTTTAAAGAACTATGAAACACAATTTTAGCTTATAGAGGAAAAAAAGGAAACTATCTTTAAAAACAAAACAACAACAACAAAATCTCCATGAGAATAGTACTGCGTAAGGTATTCCCAAATCCCATAAAATCTTATTCACTGAAATAATCTGGCAAATACAATGCTTTCTTAGGCTGTTAACTAATGAAAACGTCGTTTTCCATTTCACACTTACATCATTGCTGGCATTCTTGAGCTGATTCAGCAGGTAATCGATGATGTCACCACCGTGATTGGCATGAATGAGCCCCAGTGCATACAGCCCCCCGCCTTCCTGGTAGGCCGACCCTGGAGATGTGTCTTTGGGAAGGTAGGTGGCCATTAACTGCAATGCTTCCTTCTCGTGACCCTGTGAGTTTGAGCCACAACAGATGTCAGCAAAGGGAGCGGAAAACAGACACAAGAGTCTCTCTAGGTCCTGCCTTTCTTCCAAAATGCTCAATTGTGGGGTGAAGGAGGTACTCCAGTGTTCTACTGTACAGCTTCGTATCTCAAGACCCAGTTACAACCTGGTTAGAAAACAGTGACTGCTAAAAACACCCCCCAAAAAGCCAGTAACTGCTTCATATTTTTTCTCTGTACTACAGCATTTCCCCAATTTCTTCTTATATTATGCCAAAAACATTTCATCTCATCCTTTGCAAAATGGCTCCGAGTCTTCATAGGAAAAGGGTTTTCCCCTTTTATTAAAAAGAAACAGCTGGGCGTGGTGGTGCACGCCTGTAATCCCAGCATTTGGGAGGCTGAGGCAGGAGGATTGTTGAGAGTTGGAGGCCAGCCTGGGCTACCAAGTGAGCTCAAGGCCAGCCTGAACTGTATAGCAAGACCCTGTCAAAAGAGGAAGGAAGGAAGGAAGGCGGGAGGGAAGGAGGGAGGGAAGGAAGGAAGAACAGAAGGAAGGAAGGAAAGAAAGAATGAAAGAAAGGAGAAAGAAAGGAAGACATATTTTAATATCTTATTACTTCATCCTTCCCTGTACTAGGACTGATTTAAAATGTAGTTGTTAAAAAAAAAAATTGTACATGAATAGTAACTTTTAATTTTTTCTTAATCCCAGAAAAACTACTTCTGTCCTGATCCCCATACACACTGAAAAATATATATTACCTTATGTATTACACCCAAACTGGCTGTAGCAGTAAATTTTGCCCAGTTAGTGGCTCTGGCCAACCATTCCAAGTTATCTCTGGAAGAAAAGAAGACTTACTAATGTTATTTACAAATGAATTTCATAATTATCTATCTATCTATCCATCCATCCATCCATCCATCCATCCATCCATCCATCCATCCATCGTGGCATTGGGGATCGTACCAATGGCCTTCGCACTGAGCTGTATCCTCAGCATTTTTGTTATTTGAGACAGGGTAACCCTAAGTCATTGCGTTTCTCAGCCTGGGCATCTAATGTAAAACTCAGGATTGGTTGAGGGAAAATGCATGTAACAATGTCCACATAGCTTTGTTAAAGATAATTTTAAACCAAAGTGGAAATGTCCAAGCACATTTACCTAAGAAACTGGTCACTGGTAGTCCCACAGTGCATGAAAGAGTTTGCTATGACAGTTGCAGTGTGACATACTGAATTCCGTACTGCATCCTACAAAAAAAAACATGTTTTTAATTCCTAGCAAGACATTCATATGTGCACATGCTCACACACGCACTCAGAAGCTCTATTCTGTAGCAAAACCAGGAACTGAACTGTTATTTAGAATATGAGCCTTGGGTACTGCTTTATAAAGACTAAATAGCTAATTTACTTTTTAAAAGCCAAGTAAAACAGTTTTATTTCTAGTCTTAATAAAGTCAACAGCAAATTTTAAGTGGGAAATAAGGTAGCAGGTTTTCTGTTTTTTGGTTTCTTAATAATATACTTTCTATTATTCAGCATCTTGGCTAAGGTCTCCAAAGTGCTGGGTACCTCAAGGAGCACTACTACAATCCCCCTCAACCAGTGGTCACTAGTCATTTTATTTTACAGTGGCGCCTTGGTTCACAAACTTAAATCTTTCCACAGGTCTGGTTGCAAACCGAATTAGATGAGAACCGAATCAAATTCAATGGTTAGGTTCAATGTTGACCTTAATGAAGAAAACTGATTTGGTTCTTGTCCAATTTGGTTTGGAACCAGAAATGTGGAAAGAATTAAGTTTGTGAACGGAGGTACCACTGTATTTTATTGTTTTCTGCGGGATGAACAGTGTTTCACTATATAGTTCAGGCTGGCCTTCCACTCACTATGTAGCCCAGGCTGGCCCCCAACTTGTGGCAATCTTCCTGCCTCAGCCTCGGGAGTACAGGGATTACACGCATGGACTACCATGCCTATAATTTTATTTTTACTGAAACTGTATTATAAAGACTGGCATAATTTTATTTTTAATGAAACTATATTATAAAGACTGGCATGAAATATATGTCATAAATGCAAATTACATCATTCTGTGGAGCTTTTTTGCCATTTGTAAAAACTGTATTAAACACTTCATGGGGCTGGGGATTTAGCTCAGCGGCAAAAAGCGCCTGCCTGGCAAGCGCAAGGTCGTGAGTTCGGTTCCCGGTACCGGAGAAAAACCAAAA